GGGGGAGAGGGGCTCTCTGGTTGGCAGGGGCGTGCTGCGAAGATGAAAGATCCTCTGCTCCGCGCTGGTATTTGGGAGAGTTCTGGAGAGCGGGGGGACCTGCTGTCTGGCAGCTGAGGTTTTAGCTCTCGGGCTTCTTCGGGAAGATACTAGTGTGTTTTTCACAGCCCAGGTGAGCCTAGCACTGAGAGCTGTGAAAGATCCTCTGCTCCGCGCTGGTATTTGGGAGAGTTCTGGAGAGCGGGGGGACCTGCTGTCTGGCAGCTGAGGTCTGAGCTCTCGGGCTTCTTCGGGAAGATACTAGTGTGTTTTTCACAGCCCAGGTGAGCCTAGCACTGAGAGCTGGGCTGTGGCCCTCCACGCACCTTCAGACCTGCCACCCCAGCGAAACGCTGCCCCGACGGCCCCACCTTCTGTGCCTCCAGACCAGGGGTACCCCGATGCTCTTCTCCCCAGGGGACCAGCTTTCGGTGCCTCCCTCGCTACCCTACCCCAGCCCCGTTCAGTGGCTCCAACCAAGGGGCAAAGGGGCGATTTCCACTTCTGAGAAAGAGCTCAGCCTCCCTCCATCCCCGGGGCCAGCAAAGGGAGCACTCGGTAGGTGTTAATACCCGTAACGTCCTCTCCTTTGAGACCCCGGGACACACTGTGTGGAGTATATGGGAGTCTCCCCATGCCCGCCAAACAAAGCGATCATCAGAACAATGTTTGGGACCAGGGAGGATGCTGGGGCAGCTGATGCTATTGGGAGGTAGGAAGATCTCATCACGGGTGGGATTTTTTGGGAGCAGGACAGCTAAAAGGAGAGCAATGAAGAGTCCTCAGTAACCATCTGTGGCTGAGGAATAGATTTATTGACAATAAGCGCCCCGACATCGGGATGGGCTGCACAGGGCGGTGCCCAATGGGTCTTTTCCCCCTGCAGCAGCTCTGTTTCCACGCAAGCTGGTTTTTGTGCCCAGAGGGAAGGATGGACATTTCTGTAATGCTCCCAAGCTACCACCAGGCACCCAAGTCATGCACGTCCTCATAGCCCACGCTCCTTTCAGCACGCTGGGTTGATTTAATGATAAAATTAAGTCCTTCTCATAGACAGGCTGGTTTTGATGTGATTTCAAGCCTCAAGAAAGGCTGCAAGCACAGCTTAAGAATTTGTGCATATATGAAATACAGGCTGTTGCTTAAGACGCAGAGCCCACAGCCTGCAGCCTGGCTCGTTTCGGTGCCAGCGCTTCCCCATGCTGTGGTTTGCTCGGTCGTGTGCCTTGCAGCTGAACTTGTGACCCACAATAATCATCTGACTGCACTGGGCTCAGTGCATCAGGGATTTTGTCTGCTGGCCAAAGTGCAATGTGCCCAGGGATGTCGATAAGACCACAGAGAGAAAATGGGCAGCACAGGGAGTGGAGGTGCAAGGGGAGAAGGACACAACCTTGAGCATCTCGACGTGCCAGGAGGGAACTTCTCCTTCCCACGGCACTGCCCCGTTCAACAGGACAAGTTTATCCCGGAGACCGTAGCAGCATCCAGGGTGGCACGTGGTCCCAGAGGTGCCACCTCACAGCAGCAGCATCCAGCTCTGGGCTGAGCCCGTGGCTCCCAGGGACATTTTGGGACTGAAGCTTACTTTTGAAGCCGTGCCGGGTTCCTAAGCAGGACGGGGGGGCTGTTGTGCTTCCTCCCGTCCCCACCTCTGCTCTGTTTGCTCTTTGTGGCTTCATGTTTAAAGACAGTGAATTCTCGTTCCCTTCGCAGGCGACGAGCGGGCAGCAGCGCTTGCACCATCTCAGGTGGTGTTTGGTGTTCAGCACCAGGGAAAGACACAGCAGAAGACCCTGCAGGCTGGCACGTACGCTGAGCTTCAAGGAGCTCGGGTGGTCTCTGCCCTGCAGAGATACCAGTGAGGAGCAGATGGGAAAGGGAGCAGAAGGGTCCCTACGTGCACCGTGAGAGCACCTTGGCTCCAGGTACCCCAGCCTAGAGGTCATCAAGCCAGGGTTAGTCATTGCTGCCCCAGGAGCTCCGGCCCCTCCATCTGGTAGTTCTTCTCTAACAGCAGAAGATGAGTCAAATCGAACTGGCAGGACTTCACCTCCAGCCTGGAGAACATCTGATTGTCTCCTGATGGGGAAAGGCAGGCAGAAAATATGAGTGTTTTCTCTCTGCCTGAGCTGAGACCCACTCAGTCCCATCAGACACGGGGTTTTAGCTGGACTCGCTCTGTCCCATGATGTTAACGGTGTGCCAGCACCTTTGGGGTTGAAGTGAAGAGGCAGATCAGCTGGCTGCTCTCTCGCAGCCTCCCCTGTCCTCACTCTCTCTCTGAACAGGGGGGAATCACCTACCCAAAGACAGAGCTTTGTTTGCAAGCCAAATCGTCTGCTGCCTTCATTTTCCTGCCCGCGGTGAGTAGGAAAGCTGCTGAGTATGTGGAGCATATATTGCCCTTCGGGCTCACCCTCTGCAGGCAGCTCCAGGGGCTACTGGCATGTCGCAGAGCACTCCAGACGGGAAGGGAGGCATATTTTTATTTTATTTTTCCTCTAGCTCAAGGACATGATGTGATTTTCCCACTCTTTGTCACTAGAGAGGACCCAGACGAAGCCCTTGAGCAGTCCCAGGGTTGTGGCGTCTGCTCGGGGAGAGCTTCTATCTCCACGGCACGTCCCTCTCGAACGAGAGTGGGCAGAGGGGAATATCTCTGTTATGTCTCCTGCCAACATGAAGGGGCAGATTACAGCGATCAGCCACAAAAAGGGAGGGTCAGGGCCAGGAGAGAGCAGGCAGGTCCCTTCTTTGGGGACCTGCCGGCAATTGCTTGCACCCCGCAGCCCTTTACAGCTGCGGGAAGGAGCCGGCCCAAGATAACACCTTGGTCTCACTCTGCATGTCTTTCCAGGTGTTTGGGGCTGAATCTGGCTGCTCTTCAAGCCCTGCAGTTTGTCTGGATTTAATGGAAATGGGCTGGATATAGGTGACCTAAAGGAGAGCACATGGTAAGTGGGGAACAGAGATGGAAGATGCCTTTGAACCGCACCGAACAGCTACAGATAATAAGGTATATTAAAGTGTATAAGGTAAATTTGGCTCCTACTTTGTTTTTTGCCTAGAAACCACTTTAAGGTAAAACCCATCTCACCCAGGTCTGATCTTGAAATATCAGTGTGAGCTGGTCTGCAGTGTAGACCCTCCTTCTCCCATCTTCCTCCTGCTTCATCCCAAGCACCGCGGGGAAGTGACGACAAGTTACTGTCTTTCTTTTTTTTCCATCATCGTTGCGATGCCAAGGGTGCAAAGTTAGAAATAAAAGAAAAGCAAAAAAAACCCCAAAACCAAAAAACAAACCCTCACGTATCTCCTGGATGTTCCGGTTCACAAAAGAAATAGTTTTAAATCGACCATCTGAGAGCTCCAGGCCAAAGATAGAGTGGAAAGGTTGTAGGCAGGGAAAAGCTGGCACTGCAAGCCGTTCACTTGTCTTTGGCTGAA